GAACGATTTTATCTACTGGATCAAGCTTTTTGACTTGATGTTTCTTATGATCTTTCATATTACTTAATATCATACTTTAAAAATATATTATAAAATTTTCAGAATAGGCCATTGTCTTAGCAGAAAACACCAAAAAAATAATATTTTCAGACCTAACTTGGAAAATTATCCAAGAATCCTTTCTTGATTAATGTATATCTAATAAATCTGCAGTATACAGCACTTCAATAAGACATATACCTTGCTCCTTGCATATAGGGTTTTATAATTCAATTTGATATTTGAATATTTGATTTGATTCGATCAAATTCAAATCAAAGAATGATTTATTTGATCAAATTCAAATTAATGTTTGATTCGATTCGATCAAATTCAAATCAAGTATTCAAATATTTTGATTTGATTCGAATTAATAGTAAAGCCATATCTAAAGCTTTAGGAGTGCCTCTTATTAAGAAAACTATAGTAAAAAGCGCCTCTGCAGCAGTGTATAAAATCTAAGTTAAAATTTATGTACACAAATTGATTAATTATTACTAAAATAAGAAAATCATAACATTTTCTTATGTAAAATTACCTTTTTTATATATAATTTATCTATTTTTAATAATAACTTGTGCATATTTTATGTTGTGTAATATGTGTACACAAAAATTAATATGCACATAAATTTTACACACTGCTCTGCAGCTTCAAAAATGCCTTTTTTACTAAGAAAACTATAGTAAAAAGTGCTTCTACAACTTTGAAAATGCCTTTTTTACTAAGAAAACCATAGTAAAAAATGCCTTCGTGGCTTTGAAAATGTTTTTTTACTAAGAAAAACATAGTAAAAAAATGCCTTCACAGCTTTAGAGATATTATTTTACTTAGAAAATATAGTAAAAAATGCCTCTGCAGCTTTGAAAATGCTATTTTACTAAGAAAACATAGTAAAAAATACCTTCGCAATTTTGGAGATGTTTTTTACTAAAAAACCTAGTAAAAAAATGTATTCACAGCTTTGGAAACATTTTTTTACTAATAAATTGTTACAAAGCCAAGATGGTGATTATTACTAAGTTTTCTTAGTAAAACTGAAGCTGTGATGGTGGTTATTAGTAAAACCAAAACTGCAGAGTTATTTTATTAAGTTTAATAATAAAAATTTACCTGTTACTAAACTTACTTTGTAAAAGCTATCTTTGAAATTTTTTAGTACAATTACTAATAATTTTCTTAATTAAAACTTTAGAATACTTTATTTTAATATATCATTATAAAAATTAAAAAAAAAATTTATATTTGATTTGGTTTGATTTGATTTGATTTGATTTGATTCAATCAATTTGATTCGATTCAATCAATTCGATCAAATTCAAATCGATTCAAATTGATTCGATCAAATATTTGAGTTTAATTCGATTCAATTCAATTCAATTCAATTTGAAAAAATCAAATCAAATTCAAAATTGCTTAAATATTTGATTTGATTCGATTTTAAGAAACCCTACTTGCATATATCCTACTTTATTTAATCTCGTGATTTTTGTTCCTCCAAATCTATACCCCTCTCCTATAAAACATTGAAGAATATAGTATTACTGACCATGAAATTCAAATGCCAGTTATAGTTTCTCATTATACTCATCAAGTTGCATAATGATGGTCTACAGAATAGGAATTTTTTGTCTAACAGGTTCTTGAAAATATATTGTATATTTCTTTTAGTAGTATGATGACAAAGATGGTACTACTCAAATTTCTTCATGATGTACTTTAATGGATATCCCATTGATATGTACTATCTTCACAAGACCAAAGATACATATTATGTCTATTTATTTTTTTGGTCTTTTCTAGATATTGATTATCATGTCTTTTAGCATAACCAATGGCTTAGTTTAACTCACTATTGATAGAAGAAGCATGAATGAAATTTATGAATAATATACTTTGAGATGGATACCCAACTTTTTTGGATCAACTATTAATATATATTCTTCTCGTATAAACCTGTGAGATGATGCAAATTCTCCATCAAGATAATACAAAACCAGTTCATTCTTTATAATAACAATTTTTCAGATTTTATGAATAGAAGACAAGTATGTAGGATCAGTGACCTTCTTTTGATTCTCAATTCCTCCTTCCCATTCTGCATTTACAAGCAGATAACGAATAGTATCACCTTTCTTTAATGTTATTTTATCTTTTCTAACTGGACGCTTATATTTTGTAAATGGTCTCAATTCTACTTTTTCTAATATGATGGCTTTTACAGGTGTAAATCCCTATTTTTCAATCCCTGGTTCTCAAATGAAACGTGTAGAATAATTATTTAGATAATCAATAATCATAGGCAAATACCTAATCCATACTTTTATTAATTCTGAATTGAGATATATAGATTCAACAGCATTTTGGATTGTATAGAGTATTTTTGTAAGTATCTTGTTAAAACATTCTGCAAAAGCTACTCCTTAATAAGAATATGCACTAATCATTCAAATAGTAATATCATGCCTCTTCATCAATCGAGAAGTCTTTCCCATAAATTCACTACTCCTATCATATTGTAAAAGCTCTGGCTATACAAGAGGATTATTAGGATCATCATAAATTTTTCTGAATGCTCTAGTATCTTCTGAACTCTTCTTTAATGTGAGTGGAACTGAAGTCTTATATCAGGAAATGCAGTCTATTAAATTAAGCACTTCTATATATTTTTATGCTTGTAATGATTATATATAAAGGATAGCAAATCACATTAGTATACGCAATTTGGATCCTAAATCATGTATCCTAAAGATCAGCTAGAATCATAGCATAATATCAGCTGAAATTAATCACAGATCTACTACGTCACCTAACATGATATTTTTTTTTGTAATTAACAGGCAAGAAAACAGGCGCAAAAGATAAGTATCTCAATATAAAATCTAGCACTCAATCAGGTGTAGGAGGCTAGCTTTCTCAATATAAAATCAAATATTTAAACAATTATAGAAGATCACAGTCCTATTATAGAATTTAGTATATAAATAACTCAAAAACAAAAAGAAAAGCATGGTAGTTAGATTATATAGTGGTAAAAATATAAATAACAGGAAAGGTTTAAAGGAATACCTAAAACATAAAATAGATATCCAATATAGGAAAAAAAGTAGATTATATGATGGTACAGTCAAACCTCTATATAACGATACAGATGTTTTAAGAAAAAATATTGGTATATCAAATTATCAGTATATAGAAGGCAGTCAGTAGAAAAGGGAGAAATCCAAATTTTGGTCAAAATTTATATTATTGGACTACTTGGCTGATCTCGGTCATGTACATAAAATTAGCTTAATAATTAAAATTAACAAAAATTTTGGAATTTTCACTTTTCTACTGACTACCTCCCATATTATGAAAATTTTATGTAACAATATTTGTATATTATATTGATTAATATCGGTATAATTAATAAGCCAATCAGATTTCAATAATAAATATCTTAAGAAAAATGGCAATTTTTAAAGCAATACGTTTATTACTAATATTTGAGAAAGTTTAAAGAATTTACAGATGTATTTTTTGTTAATTATGGTTTTAATTCATTTTTTTCTTTTTTACACAAAATTTTGATCATTTTTATTGCTTAATATTATATCATATTAATACTGAAAATTTGAAATAAAATTATGTAATTGTAATACATTTTAACGAAAAAAATTTGATTTTATTTTTTTTGAATAAAAACGTAGTAAAGATACTATATAGATTCTAAAATTGTATCTTATATGCAATTTTTGTCTTCTTTACAAGTTTATTTAGGGAGGAAATTGATGTTTTCAATACAGATTTCTTTGTAAGTAACTTTTAAAAATACAATATGTAAGTTAAAAAATGGAATTTAATTCCTTTTGACCCTAAGCAAACTTGTAAAGCGCATCCTATATAAAAAATGATTTCAAAAGTTAAAGGGAATTTAAGTTGTTTTACAAAAATTTTGCGAAAACTAATCTAACTATTTTTAGATAAGATCAGCAAAATTCATAGAGTGCCAGCATCATACTTACTGTATTTGATCTCCTTATGTATCATTTTATACTTCCCCCTTCTTATACTCCTAATATAATTTCTCCGACTTCTGAACACATACATATATTACACATTATTGCAAATAAGTTGTAAGTACAAATTTTCCTACCGGGATATTATACCTTCAGCTAAGAATCTTCCCAACATATCAAATAGACTTATCAGTGTCCCGCAATAAGTTTCATCCAATTTTTTTATTTTTTTTATTTTGTAAAAAAAAAGAAAAAATAATTGATCAGATTCATAAGCAGTTAGGATGCAATTTGACATGCTTGGATACTATCTCATCAATAGTTAGATAGCCGAATTCTAATAAAATTTAAGAATTGGTAGTTGGTTGGTTTATGTGGAAATATTATGATTACATGAATTAAAATACTTATGTCAACTAGTTTTAGTTATTTTTTGATTAATAACAAATTTTTGATTAGTTGTGACATGTAATTTCGAAACTCATAAAAATTCCCTTATCTAAGGACCTTTATGTTTGAAAAATTATCCCCAACAAACGTTTTAAAATCTTTTGCCAGAAACAAGTTTGTTTCCTTGTTTAGGAAATTAATTAAACATTTCGGGATACAATGAAGCTGCGCATAAAGTAAGGATCTTCAACACATGAAACTCTCGAATTTTCTTATAAATTCATTTCCAAAAAAAAAAAATATCATAAAATATTTATTCCATTCTTCTATTTTTTTTTTATTTTTATTTATTTTCCCTTCTTGGTTGTTACGATATTTCATTCCTTTTAAACAAATAAATACAGCTGGACTGTAAAAAAGAAAATTCCCTTCACTAAAAATATATATAATAATATAAACAAAATACACAAAAATATGTTTGCGAAACTTACCAAATTTTATAAACATAAAGATTTGTGGAGATACGTCTCTATATTATTAGTATCCTTGTCCCTAGCATTTTACATTTTTATGTTGATTGGTGCACTGACTAGAGGTGTTTATATAAGTCAATTCACTTTGGATAAGAATATCACCGGAATAGAAACTGTAAAATTCTCCCTTTTCGATTATTTTTGTGTCGATGGTGATATTAATTGTATGAAAGGTGAGGTTCTTCCCCAAGGAACATTTATTTTCTGTGGAATAACGCTGTGAAATAAATTTCTAATAAATTTTTTTTTTAAGTACCAACTTTCAATAAAATCCAATCGGGAGAAATAGGAAAACGGGATGTAAAAGATGAACTTAACTCTATGGAAGTTCTTCGAAAGATATTAGAAGCTTTCGTGAAATTCGGTCGTAATTTAGTTTACCCCATCCTAGCCGCTACTGTTATAGATATTATGACTTTGATATTATTAATAATTAATTTAAAAGTTCAAAATATTAACGTTTTATTTTATTCTGTGATTCACATTTTAATCCTTACATCGATCATCCTTAATATAGGTTTTATACTTAGCATTTCAAAACTCTTGATAATTTTTGATGTAGTTAGTCTTCGTTCTTTTCCCAGTATTATAGATTATCAGACCGGACCTGCTCTTATGTTATCAGCAAGTAGTCTTAATTGCTTAATCATCGTCCTTAAGATTACGCGAGCTCATAGTTTTGGTAATGAAAAAGGAATGCAAGAAGAAAAAGAAAAGGAGCCCAACGTTGACACTTGTTAATGGTTTTAGACTGATAGAATATATATATTTTTCTTTATTTATTTGTAATTTCGTAGCGGAAGAAGAGAAAATAATAATAGTAATAATAAATAAACTTGGAATATTTAACTTCAAAGTTCTTCATTCTCCAATATAACCCAGATAACTCCCTATTCAAAACAAGAATCTAATGTTGATGAAGTTGAAGGAGCATCCAGCTTGTTACTTGTTAAAAAAAAATCCTTCAAATTCATATCTTTTATTTTTTTACCTTGAACTACTTTCCTTTTTTTTTTAAAAAAAAATAATAATAATACATGTCATAGTAAGATAATGACATGATGTATTTTCTGAGAAATTATTATAAATCCTTTTTTTTTTTTTAAAAAAGAGCAAAACTTTTCATCATTCCAAAATCAAATCCCCCCTTAGTGTGACAAATCAATACTTATGTTAACAAATTTTCTAAAGATTTGATTTTTTGATAAACTTCACCGTTATCCGAAAAACGAAAATTCATCGCTTTGAAAAAGTAAGGCTAAATAAAAATCATCCGTTATATCTTTTAATACGGTCGCAAATAAATTTAGTATTGTTTTTATAAAGTCACAAAACACGCGGAAATAGATGCATCAAAACTTGGCGTTTTCGATGATCCAAAAGATTTGGCACTCAAGAAAAAAAAAAGAAGGTTCAGCCTGTTTATCCAATGAAACGCATATTTCTATGTGAAATAAAGAACCTTCTACTAAGAATTTGGAAGTTTTACAATCGCCATTTGATGAATGCGTGGGTAAATTATATATAATACAATTTATACGATAACGAGTATAAAAAAATTTAAATTAAAAAAAAAAAGTCTTTCTAATAAATAATACATAAATATATCATATGTAATTATTTATTTTATTTACATTTCATTTTATTTACACTTTATTTGTTTGTATACACGTATTTAATTAATATAATAACGAGCGTATCATCGATTCTTTGTCCGTAATAAACGCGTTTATGGCAAATGGATTGAAGGATGTCTTATTGTCCCAAAACAATTTTTAAAGAAAATTCTTACATTCCAAAACATTCTTTGATTAAATAAAAAAAAAAGAAAGAAAGAAAACAGGAAAAGCGCTTACGATGTTGATCTACTTCTGTCAAATTAACAATACAATATAATACGTTTATAATTACATTGAAACAATACTTAAAATAAAAAAAACCGAACTGCAAATTCATACCTTATTAGCAACGTGATATAATAGTAATGTCACGACATAGCGGTTTTTTTTTTAGAAAACAAGGTAGAGAAAATTTTGTATTATAACCAGAGGCAGTATATTTGGTGTTTCACAAGACGTTTTGGTTGATATGACCAAAACAAAGCATAACGATAAATTCAAATGTCTTCCTTTGTTTTTATTTTTTTTTTTTTATAAAAAACAATACATTTGGCCGTTGTATTAAAATCCATAAAACGAAATCAATTGGTTTCAATGAAATTGATGTAACTGATGAAATATTAATTGAATCCTTATACACCATTTGATTTTTTATGTTAATTCATTATTATAATTAGTAAGAACCATCCAAATATTCGGTAAATGCACCCGATATGATGATATAATCATATTCATTGTTTATGACAATCCTATTTTTAGTTAATAAATATAAAAAAAAACAAAATTGTTTATTTTTATCCTGTATTTCCTTCTCCTTTTTTTCGAACAAGAAGGATTATTGTCTAAAATAATTTAATTATATATATCTATTACTGTAAAAGTATCAAAAAAAAAAATTTCCTAAGGAAAAAGATATTTCCAGAAATAAGAGAAATGAATGAAATTTATTTTTCATTCATCATGCAACAAATTAAATTTTTTTAAAATAAAAAAAAGCTAAATTTTGAAAAAAAAAAATTTTTTTATATATAACGGATTTGATGTTCAAATTAGGTAATTTTGTTTTCAAAACATTTACAGAGCTACAAATAAAAAGAGGTTATGTTTGTTCTGATCCACATGATTTTTAATATAATGTATTCACAAATAAAGTATCACAACATCAATCATCACATATTGAAAAGGTACGCGAAAATTTATATGAAAAAAATTTTTTTTTTTATTGAAGAAAGCAAAAATAGAACCACAACAATAAATGAAAATAATAAAAAAGAGAAAATATAAACGTTGATGCATAGACTAAAAAAAAAAGAGATAGAAAAAAAGGAAGAGAATTAACAAAAAGTAAAATGAGTTTAATACATGGAAAAATTTGATTGTGTGTCAAAAACGTTATTGTAAAAATATATTTGATCATTTTGAGGAGCAATAAGCTGCCCATGAAATTCCGGGTAAGGATTAAGATCTATACAGGCATTATTATTTGATTGATGATTCGAGAGAAAATAATTGTCCATTAGATCAAAATTAAAAGTGGGTGCGGAGGTCTGATATATAGAAGAAAGCAGAGGAGAAGGCGTAGGAGAAGGAGATGAAGAACAAGGAGGAGTTACTGATGTTCCTTCTAAATGCTTACTTTGTAAAGGTGTACTTGTTGAAGGGGCTATTGCTGTCGCTGTTACTTTCGATAGTCGTAGAGGTAAAGAGTAAGGGCTGTAGGAAGGTGATTCTCCTTCTTTCAAAGAAGAAGATGGGGACGAGGTAAACTTTTTATAAATTGAAGAAATCCTTCTGTAATGAATTTCGTAAACGTGATCTGCCAACTTTTTATAAACATCTTTTTCTTCAGGCGAAGCGTTTTTCCATAAAATGCTGGTAACCTTACTTATCACACGCATGTTTGAAGTTCCTTTGCGGTTTGATTCTTCATGAACATTTTTCCTACAAAGCAAGAAGGCGTTTGGACACCGCTTTGGGCGTCGGAACGATAATTTCGTTAAATTATCGGATGAAGGAATAAATGTTTCTGGGTTATTATACGATGGTGGGAAAATATTTCTTCTATCCAGTCTAACGATTAATGACAATGCTAAGTCTTCTATCGAAAAGTTGTGAGTAGTCATGATTATCGAAATTTTAATTTTTAATTTTTTTATTTTTTTTTTTAAAAAAAAGTGATGCTTAAGTTTAAGAGGTGTAATTTGAAAAAAGGTGAGGAAAAACTCTTAATTTGAAACTTAGATTATTCTGAAAAGATTGGAATCTAGTGAAAAAAAAAAGGAAAAAAGAAAATGTCTTATATTTATATAAACTTTTTTTATTACTTTTTATACGAAGGTTAATTTTAAAATATAAAAGTTTACAATATAAAATATTTTACTTATATTATATATATATATTATACATTTTTAATTAAAATTGATTTTATTTAACAAACAATGAACATGAACGTTTATTTATAAAAAAAAAAAAAGACCATATGTATTGTATTGTATTGTATATATATATACATATATTTTAAAGTTTACTAAAAAAAGAACAGTTTATTTTGATGTGATAGTGATGATTAGTAAAGATGTGCTACCTATCTACCTATATTAAGAAGATCGTCTTTAATAATCTACAAATTAATCAACAATCTACACCGAGAAAAATTATAAAATTATCGGAAATTATGAAACTGGCATGAAGTGAGATTTTTTTTTTGACTCAACAAATATTAGTAATAGTCAAAATTAATAATGTTAATGTATCGCAAATCTAAATATATGTATTTAACCAACGCAACACGAAAAGCACACAAAAAAAAAAAAATCTTCAAAAGGAAAAAAATCCGTAATAAATGGATGAAATTTGTATTAAAAAGTTTGGAACTGGTCCGTCTGCTCGGTTAATCGGTTAAAAGATTTGTTAAATGGTTAAACTTAATTTCGGAGCATTATAAAAAAATGTTTGAACATTTTTTTTTTTTAATTAGAAAATAGCGAGCAAATCATTCTTATTGTAATCATCCAAAAAGGAATTTTCTGCCAATATATATATATATATATATATTTTTATTATTATTTTCTCTTCACCAAAGAAAAATCAAGAAGGACTTTTCCTTTCTTATTAATTCTAACGAGGGATCATTCACCTAATACCAATTTAGAAGCTTACACAAGGTTAATTAAATCGGATGAAATTCTCCATTAAGTAACCATGAACCTGCCGTATTATCCTGCATTTAATTAAATGCACATTTTATAATTGTTTGTCATTATGTAAACAGTATGAAAACTTTCGGCCAAATATTATATTTTTCCAGGCAAATAAATAAAATAAATAAAATAAATAGTACCTTCATCACTAGCGCGATACAATAATCAGCATTACAAAGGTTAAAGTTGTTTTAATTACATCTTGTGTTCATTTATGTTAATTTTTCTACTTTATTGATAATCAATCAAATGACTCGACACGTATTGACGTAACGATTTCTTGATTTCTTCATTAACATATCTTAAAAATAATGTTAACCTCATGCAACCTCTTCCTAGATATTAAGACGGTATCAAAAATTCGAGCTGTTTAATTATCATAAAACGCAATAAAAAAAACCATAAATTTATTTTCGCGCTGAACTAAAATAACGTAGCACTAATAGGATTTGCGGTAATGATACGCTACTAAATAAATACAGTTTAATTTTCTGTCCATTGAAAAAAAAAATTAACCGAGATTAATTTTATGGACAATCATTTAATTAAATACATTTTTAATGTAACCTTAAAAAAATTCTTCCGTGAGACGCATGTTTCTATATGACAAAATTACCTGGATGTGCGGTACATAAAATTAATTTATTTTATTTTTATTTTTTTATTTTTTTTTTTAATCTAAGGGAAAAAAAAAAAGTTTAATAATTATTAAAAGGTTACATGATGTCAAATAAAAAAAAAAATAAAAATAAAATAAATTTATTTATGTATTAGCCTGCATATAAGTTTACATTTCACTTGTACGGTAATGAAACCATTCATCGAATAATCGGGTTTCTTCCGTCTATTCTAAGGGTTTTAGAACGATTTATAATTCTATTACCAAATATTTTACATATTTGACATAATTCATTTCATTGATCTTGATGTATGTTTGTCAAAATCCGAATTCGAAAAATCTGAAACAAGGGGCATTTGGTAGGGATCTACTTTAAACATATTATTTATTATGTAATATGATATTAATAACAAAATATTTGACGAGTGACTACATGATTACGTGGTTACATTTGAAATTTTTACAATTACATTAACGGCTATTGTTTCATCCAAGTAAAAATCATATAACAAAAAATAAATATAAATGAACTTATCAACTTATTAATTTCAAGGAGATACAACATTTCATTTGTAGAATGTCTGCATCTTCTCAGCCACAAAATTTGCATCAATAGCGATAATGGTTTTAAGCCTCTCCGAAATATACGTTCCACTTTTTCTTTTCGGTTGTCACGAATACGCATAAACCTTTATTCCCACCGTTATAGAGATCCAGAATTAATAAACATTTAAGATATTCATGTAAATTTAAACAATCCTTTACGATCAAACAAAATCATCACTTACTTGCATGGTTTCTTAAAATCCAATCCTGAAGAAACGAAAAAGATCAACGTTAAGCAATTTCATACAAGACTCACTTATGTTCTTTAAACATCTCTAATTCTTTATCAAGTACAATAGGAAAGAAAGAAAAAAAGAGCCTTTTCGATATGGGTCGATTTAAAATTTTGCGTTGGAGAATTAGAGAGTACCATTAGTTAAAGCTTTGTACTAAGTATTTTTGTCTTTTGATATATTAAAATAAAGTTTATAAATTGAGTTATGAAAATTTTATAATGTAAGATTTCATTAATTAGATTTCGACCATCATAACCTAAAAAAATATTAAAAAGGATCTGTGAACTGTTTCAGATTGGACATCAATGAAACAATTAACGTTTGGCGTAGCAAATACATGCGATTTGATGATTATAAATTATAATTTATTAGATTTCGAAAAAAAAAAAAAAAAAAAAAACCAAGATCGTGTATTTGGTTTGGGTTCAATGAAATCAATGAATCATAATGATGTAAAAGGTAACCTGAAGAATAATGTGATAAAATTATTATATTTTACATACATTTAAATAGTCAAGATATACATGTTAATTTCTTGTAATTTAGATTTGTTTCTTCCACCCTGTAAGAATGAAAATTCTTTCGGTTTACCTGTTCTTGTTATCTAGCCAAGTGTTGATGTTTAGGATATCTCTCATACGCATGGTAAGTGAGTAGTATAACTTTCCGCATGATCAAAGGCAAATATATATTTCCAAAATGCTAGACCTTACTTGGTTCATAAGCCGAGCAGGGTCTTGATCATGTTGCTAATAATCGTTTCAAATCTTTATACGATTGATTATGGTTTCAATACCCATAAAATTATTTATTTGTAATATCAATGACTAATGATAAAATGCAAAACTTACTCAACTTTCAAAATTCGAAAAAAAAAGATTTTCAAAAAACGTGAATTACAGAAATGCTAATGAAAAACTTAGATTGTAGGAAACGTATAGGCTTTTCGAACCATTGGTGTTGGAACGCGAGTTGGTGGTAGAAGGAAGAGTTTATCTGACTTACTTCTTAAAGATGTTTGTTTGCATTTGATAATATATCAAATAAAGAGAAAGGCAGAAGAAGATATTGGTGTTATTAGTTGTCATTATTATTCAATCATTTACTTATATATTTATTAGGGATTAATGAAAATGTAGAAACAAATGACATATAACAATTATCAAACTTTTGAGATCGCAAATCATTTTTTACATTCTTCGTGTAACAGATCCGACAATCTTCCACTTATAGAAGGTTGCACATAAGTTTAATATAGAAATGTCAATTATTTATTTGTACTACTTATTTTTTTTTTAGAACGCCGCATATATCAAATCATCAATGAAATGACACCCAGTCATAATGATTTTGGGAAGGTATTTGTTGAGTAAAGAACAATCGAATTAGTCTAAATTTTATGATTTTACGAAATTTTATAATTCAAAATTTTCATTGTAATTTATCTCGTGACGCATCGTTCTTTGATCGAAATAGGACACATCATTTATAAAACAATGAACAATGAACATGAGTTTGTAAATGACTTATATTTGGCTAGAAAATTATGATATCAGTTTTCATCTATCAAGATATCTTTGAATTCTTCTTTTTATTAATTATAAAGACAAATGATAATATGATAGAAACGAATCAATTCAGCATTCAAATTTTACAAATGTAAACATGATCGTCAAAATATTTTTAAAAAAAAACAAAGCAAATAACAAATTTTTAATACATTTAAACATTCAATTGTGATTAAAAAACAATTCTATTATCATCGATGTGCGAATTATAACATAAATAAAGTTGATTCTTCATCATTTCTTAGATACATACGAACCAAACCAATAAGAATGCATTCAAATCACGTATTAATAATAAGAAATACAAGGAAGATTAGGAAATATAATTATGAAAAAAATCACCTTTTTCCTAGACAGATCGCGAGACTTCCTCCACATATTACAAATGATCCATTAATACAGCAATTTTTTAATGGTGGTTCCTTTAATTAATTTTACCTTGAAGTTGTGCACTCACTTTTTTTTTTATAAAACATAAAAGCTATGTCGAGAAAAATGGTTTCGAAACTGACGAAATTGACGATAAATTCAAAAAATTTTTAAAAGGATTTTCTTTCACTATCATTGTCTTTCTTGTAGAATATAGATTTAGATACTTGTTTATAATAATTGGAATCTCTAAATAGAACGAGTTTAGCTTCTTATATGTGAAATTCATATTACAAAACGAAATTTTTTTATCATTTTTATAATACCGTACACAAAAAAAAAAAATTCGACTCTCATACAAAGATTTTAAATTATTTGATTATTAAAGTTTCTTAGCATATCATTAATTTTAATGCTACATTAATCTAAAAAATATCTTATTTTTAATAAAAAAAAACGCATTATTAAGATTTTATTAATTTGGATTAGGATTATTCCAATCTTTATTTATAATAAAAAAATTTCTCATGTACAAATGATAAATAAATATCATAAATTTTCTGGTTATATCAATTCAAGCTTCTTGTATAAGAGAATAATCGAGGTCTTGAAGAATAAAACGAAAATTACAAGTAAAAATAAAAGTGAAAAAATGTATAACAAAAACTTTTAACTTTATTTAGTTCAACTAAATGTGATTAAAAAATCCAAAATCGGCTAATGAAATTTTTTGACACAGAAACGATGAGTCATTTTAATATATCCATCTTATCAAAATAAATAAATAAAAATAAATAAATAAAAATTTTTTTAGATCAAGATCCCATGTGAATCCTAACCTTAAAAATTATATAAATGTTACCTATATATATATTTATTGTCCTATTTTCAAAAAAGACCGAACAAATTTTTTTTTTCCTCGGAACATTTAAAAAAAAATAAATTAATCCTTAATTGCCGTGAATTATTATGATGAATTTGCATTGTTCACGTCAAGTCAATTTTTTACAAATAAACCATTCATTGAAAAATAAATTTCGAATTCGACCTTTACCTTATTTTTCCTCACAGAATTCATTTTTCCAAAGTACTCTATCAACTTCATCAATAAATAAAGCAGAGACAATCCAATTAACTTCAATATATCATAATATAAGGACAGTATTATCCAATTCAACTTCACCACCACCACCACCACCAATACTTCCACCTACTTTATCATCATCACCATCTCCCTCATCGTCATCATCTTCTTCCTCATCCTTCTTGTCATCATCGCCTTCAAAAGCAATAAAATCCACAGTGCAATCTCGTGCATATTCTCCGCAACATTTTTATAAAAATCGAATCCTTGATCAATATGTTTCCCAACAAGTAAATACGATTACATTACGACAGCTTGTCGTATTTGGACGTAACCTTACAGAAGAGAGATTATTGAGAAGTGGTAATTATGTTAGAACGGAATTACCAATTAGATTGGCGCATAGGATAAGAGATTTTCAGAATTTACCTTTTATCGTGGGTACAAACCCCCATATTGCGATGGTATATGATTTATATTGGTCAGCGTTTGAAAAATTAAGAAAATTTCCAACAATAACGAATTTGGATGAAAATGATGAATTTTGTGATACCGTTAAGGGATTGTTAAAGGATCATTTGGTCGTTATTCCTCAATTGGCTATGGGTATATCAGAATGTTCTCAACATTTGCATCCCGATCATCTTGACAGATTTATGAACACAATGTTCAGATCAAGAATCTCTAGAAGAGTTTTGGCCGAACAACAAATTGCCCTTACTGAAAATTGGAATGATCCCGGTTATGTTTATGGACAGGATGGACATGATGGTTATATTGGAATTGTGTCTACTCAATGCAATTCTGGGGAAATTGTTGAAAGGTGTGCAAACATGACGAGAAATTTATGTAGAACAATTTACAAAGTTGAACCTCCTCAGATTATCGTGGACGGTCATGCGAACACCACCTTTGCTTACATACCTGATCATATTGAATATATACTTTATGAATTATTAAAAAATTCTATACGTGGGGTTATGATGAAATTTTCTCCCTCTTTAAAAGATGTTTCTGAATCTCCTGAATTTTTACAAAAATTTCATAAATTTCAACGCCTAAAATCTCTTGAAAATAGTATGGATTCCTCATCTACATATCCTCCGATTTCTGTTACAATTAGCTCAGGTTCTACAGATTTATACTTTAGAATATCAGATCAGGGAGGTGGAATTTCTGATGAGATTTCTCCTCATATATGGTCATTTGCTTCTACTTCAACTTTAAATAATAAATTTGAAAATTTTGCTCAAGTACCTCAAATGGCTGCTAAGGTACATGAATATGAACAATTGATCATCCCTCCTACTTTACATTTAGGAATCGGATTACCCATGAGTAAGGTTTATACTGAATATTGGGGAGGTGGATTAACTTTATTTACTATGGACGGTTATGGTACCGATGCTTATGTTAAAATTTCTAGACTTGGCAATAGAGAAGAAAATTTAGAGTAATTCTTTTAAATAACAATGACAAATTTTAATTATTTTTATAATTTTTTAAATATATTTATTTATTTAAATTCGAATAATAATAATTTAACGAGCAAAACAAAAAAAATCCTCTCAATTGATTAAATTTTTTACGATTTGTGAAATCAATTGTCATTATACATTATATCACATCTCCATTTCAACATCGTCAATCTTCGCATTCTTATCATTAACAATCGACGATGATTTCACAATTGTTCCATCTAACCCTCCTTTCCATAACGTAGTTGTGTTCCATTTGGGAAATACCCGTTTGTATAAATTCATCATCACAGTGTCCTGTTGTGTGAGTGGTGAATCAAATACACATTTCATATATCCATGTGTACCTAAACTTTCTTTAATATGTCCGGTACGTCCATATTTGGTTGTTAATTGTACAGGCTTAAACCATAATACATCCTCTACATACATGAATATAAATAAGTTGGAATTAATTGGTTATTAATAAAATTAAAAAGTCGATGTGAATTGAAATATAACTTTACCAGGATTGAAAAACATGTATCGAATAACAGCGGATTTTTTATGAATTTTGTATGGATGTCCTGTAAGAATAATACGTTTAGCATTTACTCTCTTTGGATCCGAATTCAAAAAGCTTCCTGTAGCCACAAGTATTGGAGCTATTGTAACGGAAAAAGACTATTATAATTATTTCGCATAATAAAATAATGTTCATATTGATAAGGTCAATTTATTTAATGAACAAACCATTAATATCTCCGGTATCTTTAAAAAGCATAATAGGTGAATGACCAAATTGCACCGGTCCATATATCGTAGCAATACAAGTTCTTCCAGGGTTAAGAAATCGTTCAAATTTATGAACATTATTCGTTCCTTTTCCTCCTTGTGTGTTTTGTGAATAAATTGGATTTACTAAATATCTGCGAAATCCACAATGTAAAATAAGTGGGTCCTTTAAAATTAAAAATTTATATAATTAATAAATAATAAACTGATGATACAGATAATATTTGACATTCAAAATTTATAATTACTTTTGATTTAATTGGTTCTTTGTAATCTGTGTTTCTTGTAACAACAAAATTCATTACAGAAGTTCTGTGTTCATATTCCAGTAATCCAAATATATTGAATGGTCGAAATGGATCGTATGACTCTAAAAGTAAATGACTTTTAGGATAAGAATTTTTTTAAAAAATATAAAAAAAAAAAAAAATGTTTTACCTGCTACTTCCTTTGGAACATTAGATAAATGTAGTGTTATTCGTGCACCCTATTTGAATAGATAATAAGTCTAACGATTCCAATAACGGGTAATTTATTTGAATTTAATTATACTACTAACCTTAATTCCACATCCACCAACAGCAGCTTCATTTATAACTCTGTGTTTTGTCCTTTGATAATTCTCAAATTGGAAAATACGAGCATAATCGACTGGTAAATTTTCCATTGGATCCCACGGTGAAGTACGAAAACTTTCCAAGCCTCGGTATCTTTGAAATCGAGTACGAGCTGTAATACCTAAAGGTGTATCTCTTTCATCCGGAAACTCAAGATCATCACGACGTTGTTTTTCACGATTGGCCAAGAATTCTTTTAACCTATTAGAAAGTCGAATAGAAACTTATAAATGTAACCAAATTGTTATTCACTATAAGATTTATTAATACTAACTGCCTAGCTTCTTCCTCTGGGTCCAAATTAGGATCATTCAAACTAGTTGTTCTTGTCTCAACCTCAATTTCCTCATATTCTCCCTCACTATCATTGCCGACTTCTACATGAGCCAATAGTTCATCTTTTTCATAAGTCATATCGACATCACCATCTTCATCCGTGTATTCTTCATCTTCTTCATCAGATCCAGAATCTAAGATCCATGCTGCTTGATATGATGATGTTCCTTTCGGTACACGTTTCATAATTTTTTTTGGTGTGGTACCAGGAGGCGCATCCGGCATATCATCTGAACGCATTGATTCTGAATTTACTTTAAAGCGACATGATTTCAAATATTAGAATTAATGTCGAATTTTATTATTTAAAATTGATCTTACCTTCCATTCCGCCCATTTCTTCTTCAGTTGGCCATGTTTGCTCATTTTCCATAAAAGTCGGTTCATTCTCTGAGATAAGCGAATCCTATATAAAAATTGTATGTAATTTAATTAAAATATTCGTAAAAATAACTATCGTATCAAATTACATGTAATATAACAAACCTGTAATTTTGGATCAGCCACATGCAAAATTTGAAATTTCTCTTCCTACATTAAAGTATTTTTAGTAATTTCAAATTATTAATAATATGATATTAAAGATCGAATCATTACCGAATCTTTATCATCGTCTCTTTTCCTAGAAGCAGTGATCTAGATAAATAATTGGTTAATTTTACGCGTAAATCATATTGAAATCAAAAAAGACGCGATAACAACCGCTTTTTTTTTTTTAAAAAAAAAAGATAATTATTAAATGCCTCGAACCTGTTTCAATTGAAAATCACCAAAGTTCTGCAAATGCACTAAACGATTTGCCGAAAATGGTACACCTCTAGAATAGCCCGTAACCTTTAGAGTCCCGAAATTCTATTAAAATTAATAAAACATTTATTAATTCTTTCAAAGGTATTTATAATCAAAAAACAATCATAAATATTTACATCATCATTTGGTTCATAAATCAATTCTTCAGTCAACATATATGGACGAATATCTCTCCATAAAACTTGTTTAGGACGTTGGGTGCAAATTGTCCTTAATACATTAAGTGCGTCCTATAAAAAATGTTAAGTTAAAATTAAACTTTAGTAAAGTAAAATAATTTCAAATATCATAATGAATTTACCTGAATTTGATCTGCAGAATGAATTTTTTCTTCATCGGGGAAAAAATGGTTCATATAACTAAGTAAAGATTTCTTAACATCGTTACGCTTCTTTTGTGAAATTTTTTCCATGTGCTAACAATTATCAATTTTATAAATAAAAATACACACATTATAGATTAAGAGATATATAAATATTGAACCAACCATAGCAGTAGTTATAACAGTGGGCAATCCTTGAGATTGTATAGCCTTTAAACATGATTCACCAAATTGATCAACTTCGACTTCAGCTGATACAACAAATAATACATAATCCGCGATTTTACAAGCATCCAAAATGTCAATAAAATTCCTTTCAAGAAGGATGAATTGGATTGTTTGTTTAAACCTTTCAGCACTGTAATCAGAATAATTAATTAACTTTATGATTGTCTTCGTATTTAATAATCGAAATATAACTAATCTATATCATTACTTCATATGAGCAATGCCTTTTAAAATAGACGGTTCTTGTAAATCAATACTGCTATAAATGGATTTTATAGCACTATAAGAATTTACATCGGGGCATAATGGTATCACGGCCTACATACATGATTTAAAATGAAATTCATATGGTGAATCGTTAGTACTAAATAGTTATTTGAGTCGAAAAAATAAATTTATTTCCCAAATAAGAGAAACATACCACAATTTTAGGAGTTCCATGCTTGCCTTCGAAAAATCTGTTCGTTTTCAGCACTTCTTCTCTCTTTTTTTGTTGTTCCAATTTCGCCGCATTACGTCTATCAACTCTTGAAATTGAACGCGTATTTGCACTCGAGTGCTTTATAGCTTTTCTGTTGACTTTACCTAATGAAAAAATTCAGTATATTATGTCATGCAAATTGAAAAAATTTTTTTTTTGTAAATTACCGAAAGCAGAATTTCTTTTTAAAGAAACTACCTTTTATTTTGTCTTTAATAGCTCCTTTTGTTGCATGTTTAGATTTAAATGGCTTATTTGATTGTTTGAGTGAGCCTGCCTTATGATGAAATGGCTTTTCGTTTAGCATTTTATATATATGATATCAGAAAAGTTATTTCGATAAACTTTAGATGAAAAAAAATTTTTTTTGAGTATCAAGTTACTCTATATATAATTTTTTTTTGTTATTACATAATTCATATCGTTCTGATTAAAATTACCTAATATATTTTTAAATCCCAAATCTGGATGAAACCCACATTTTTTTTATACCGAAATAACGCCTCTCGTCGAATTTAAAATTTTTGAATCGTTTGTATTTAGCTTATTACTGAAAATATAGAATTTTTTCATTGATTAAGACGAGTAGGGTTCTAATTCTGATCCTGTTTCATCGTCGCACCTTCCTTTGCGACTTCATGAGGCATATTAAACATGTGGAGATACACGAACTATTTTTAGAGAACTACGAAAAAGAAAAAAGAAAATATTAAAATATAAAACATAAGTAGTAAAAACAAAATTATTTTCGTATTTTATACTTAATCGCAATTCGCAGATAACATCACTATAGTTACTAAATTATGGTAAAACTTATAGTATCTATAAACCATCGAATTTTTTATTAAATTGTTGAAAAAGTTAGAAAAAATTTTATTTGTCTAAAAATGCCACCACAAATGCTACCAACACCTCCACCAACTCCATGGTATTATTTTTTATTTTATTTTATTTTTTATTATTTATAAAGAAGAAAGTACATACCGTATATGAGTACCCATTTTGAATAGAAGTAGTATCGGATTACGATTCATCTGCATACCAAAGAGATATAAAGCCGAAAACAATTCCCTCCCACCACCCACAATACTTTCCGATGAAATTGGAAATAAATGGATGCTTTAGTGTCTCATCATAGATTCTATTTCAGTTAATTTACGTTGATGTTTTGAATAGTACCATGCATAATGTTGGCTGATATTTGATATTTTGGTCAATATTATGTTTTGTATAGTTCCAGGTAATACTCGATCTTTTGAAGAAGACCAAGGACACCGTGCAGTGCTATACGGCAGTGTTGGCATTTGGCAATTTGGCCGAGGTTAGCCATTAGCCATGGCCAAAAGTCTTTTAGTTATAGCCAAATGCCATTACTGCTATACGGTAATAGGAAGAAGGTACCCTTGATAAAGGTACCTTAGAGATTATTTCAGAGCACTTGGCGCAAGTTTCCTCAAACAAATCATAATCAAGGGATCACTATCATCGGTCATGCCACATGAGCAATATAGTGCCTCTCTTGTCAATTTCTTTCATACGAGTCCGATGGGTAATCGACGAAAATCCGACTCTTCACGAAGAATGTCCTCTAGGAGATTTTCAATTTATTTAATGCAATTAGTTTAATGGCTCTATTACGTTTTGAATAAACACTGTAAATATCACGGGTTTACGTAGTGATAAATTTTCCACATTGTCCACATTTTTCACATCAGATGGGACTTCACTGTCGAATGTTTTAGCTGAACTCTACACTAGAATGCAAAGTAAAAAATAACTATAATATCACACCTGCTTTTATAGCACTTGTAAAATTTCGCAGGATAAAGCAATCCAAGATCTTCATTAGCAATTACGCATTACAACCCCATCATGCGAAATATCTGATTGCTGAAAAAAATACTATTTCGGTTAGCTTTGATAATAGCGTGACCGAGACATGACACGCAAAAAATAAAGTCTTAGAAAATATAATGCGAAATATAACATAAAATGTGAAATATATGCCAATTCAGGTGAACTTTATTTGATATTACTATCATTGCTTCAAAGTGACTATACATTTGTTGAGTAAGAGAACTCTTCTTGATTCTCTCTCACATAAACTTCTATTGGAAGATGATGATTTTTGTTTCCCGGTTATGTGATAAAACATTGGCATGTAGCAGTTTCTCGGCTATTTCTAAGTTATTGACAAGCTTGAGGAATTTTTTAAAATTGATTTTTTCATTTTCAACAACTCCTGGATGACAACGTTGTCAATGACTTGATTATTTCCGCCAGCTACCATTTTAGCCTTAAGAAAGTTGCTCTCAACGGTACTGAACACAGCTTCACGAATCTCTAAAAGCAAAATATTTAAGTGTGATGAGAACGTTCACACAACGGTCATGTAAAATACCATCATCATTGTCCAGATAGTAAAATGCTCTCTCACCTTCGAATGTCTTGCCCGTTTTTATCTCATCACCATATGTCTTGAGATCACAAATCCGGCCACCTACGAGTTCGATGAGTTGATTGGCGTACTTTTTCTCAATGTCAAGTTTGCAAAGGAATGTTAGTGCATCTTCGTTAGTTAGATCTCCGATGACAATGGGATTTGGATAAGCGCATGACCACGATGATCATTCTAGAGTAGCGCAAAGAAACCAACAGTAAGGAACGAGATACAGAAAAATTATATCATACAAAACTTACGCATCATCATGCGTGACACTGATCTCTCGCTACTGACAAATACAATAACGCAACTGCGCTAGTTAGCATAAAGTTTTGCGATGTCCTGCAGATCCTCCAATATGTCCACATTTTTCTGGCCCAGCTTACTAATGTTGTTGAGGATTAACATTGGAGTTGTGCCTTGTATTTTCTAGCTCCTCTTTCGAAGGCAAGTTTGATACGAGAAAACCTGGTCTTAACAGTTATAATACAAGAAAGAGGTGAGCGTAGAGCAAACGCCAGTACTTCTTCTTTATAATAACATTACCGGACTTATTTTCGCCTCGAGTTCTCTGCTTCACTGATATAGAGAGTGGCAAATACTCATTGAATGATATAGCCATTTCAAGATTATCAAGGAATTCATCCAATTTAGAGGGGGCATCAACATAAATGACCCCTATTTCAACTTCCCTAGCACTCTGCCGGACCACTGTGGTCTTCCCAGTTCTGTGGTTCCTGACAATAATGTGATAAGAGTTATGGTTAGGGGCTGGCTTGATAATTCGTCTCAGTTTCTTGATAACATCCTCACAGTAAATCATCTCTTCCTGCGTAATATCAGGTTCTAGACAGGAATCGTGTTCAAAGGCATGAAGGATCATCCTATCATTCCAGCGATTATACCAGCTGGCGACGCTAAAGTCTAATAAGGCTAAGAAAACCCCATTGCCAATCCACTTTACAAACCTCCAAGCAGACTAGAAATGTCAAGGTGTAAATTAAAACACACTGTCTGCAGTCTGAAAATAATATATTAATCACAAAGACAAAAAGATATAATATCCATTCCATTTTGTGCCCTCTTTTATGTTCTCTTTTACGTTACTTACTCCAATTTTTAGGGCATCAAGTAGGTATGGGTGTGGCGAGCCTGAAGTCTACAACGGTTATGTATAAGTGATGGCCATGCATGTAACTTGGCCTGAGGGGCTGGGGAAAGAACTCTCGAGCCATCCTGAGAAGCGCGGTCGCCCTGGTGTTGTACTTTACATGTATGGGAAAAAAATGATTTTAGTAAACATACAAAAAAAATAATTATTTACACATTATTCATTAATAATTAAATGGTGCATACACATGATATGCATACACAAAGAATTGAATGCATTTTTATATTATTTTTAACTAGTACATTTCAAATTATTAAAATTTTCATCGCTTAAAGCTTTTTCTATGATATAATTATCAGACATGTTTTTAAAAAAAATATAATTTATTTTTTCCAACTAAAATTATATCTTGCATAACGATACAGAATGTAATAGTGATACATTTTATCAAGACCTTCATCTTACCACAGTATGTGAGCCAAAGCTTTACTTCTCTCTATTTATTAATGGTTTGTCTTATCAGAATATATTTTATTTTGTAAAGATATTTCAAAAGGTTTGTAAAGACTAATTCGCATGAACAGCAGATTAAAAATGACTGCAAATTACACTTCCAAATTGCAAGTTTTTATGGAAGAAAACAAAAACTTCGCAATACGAATATGATTTTTGGATGAGGTTATACAAAATCGTTTGCATAAAGCATTCCGAATCTTATGAAGTTTATATATATCGTCCTGTTTGGAATAATCGTAATGAAGATGTTGATCAAGCTTTATCTACGTCAAATCAACCGCATAATACATCACCTTATAACATGACCAAAACACCATGCAAAAAAAATACAGTACTCTGAGATGCTTCGCAACCCGTTGAGAACTCATGATGCGCGCTCGTGATCCGTTACATCCATTGATCAACAATCATCATTTAGTATTAATCAAATGTTGAATCGCATCAAATATTCTATCATTTTTTTTATCAAGAAGTTTTTATCATCATAGCAAATAAAGTGGAGAAACTAATATTTTAATATTAACGTAATAGGTCATTTTATAATGAGCGATTAAGGACATTTCATGTTTTGATTAGACCGTTCCAATTTGTACTTCTCACATGAGATCCAAAAATCCTGAGGGATTAAAATTAAACATAGTAAATTTAAACAACTAATTAAATCATGTGACTTGATAGATGTGATTATAAAAGGCATTTGGATTATAGCCATTTTTTTGTAAAAATTCACATTTTTCTCCTTATTTTTCACAAAAAAAAATTAAAAGTCAAAAAGTCTAAAATAATAAAATATAATGACATTTTTGTTACAGTTATTATAAATAGTAAAAGAAAATGTAATAAGTATCAAGAGTGATGAATATTTTAATGAGTTATTAAAGCAAGCTCTTGATGTTATATCTGAATATACCACAATAAAGATAGATTTTCAAATCAGAAAATCAGATCAATGGTTTTCTGTCATAAATAGCATTAAAGAAAGTTTAGAAATATGTTTATAATTGAATGTTACTTATATATATTTATTTATAGCTCAAATTTCAAAAATAATCATCAGAAAGTTGATTTATCAAATTAAGAATCAGCCTTAAATAGATTAATAAAAGAGAATCTACAAGTAAAATTACCTACAGTTAAAAATACCAGCAATAGAAAAGATCTTCTATTTAATGATTTATCAAAATACTGCAAAAAAGAAATCTTAATTAGATAAACAAAAAGTATCTTACATTTGAAAAGGATTTTGCAAAATGTGTTACTAATCTTATCTAATACATAGATCTACATCTTCAGAAGTTTAAACAATATACTATTAAGCTACCATTAATTTTAAAAGATTTATTTTAATATAAATCAAAATCATAATATAATATATATTATGAAACTAAACATCATAAAAAATCTGATATTTCACGTAATCAACTTGAAAAATATTATAAAGCTCTTAAATTATCATTAAAATAATCTTGGATAAGTTAATTGCAATAGAAAGAAATTATAAAAAGTATTTTGATCTTATTTTAATGATAAAACAATATGCATTTTATCTGCAAGATGTAGTTTAACAAATGCATATCATTCATAGTAGTCACTTTTCAATAGGATATTGCTATAGAATATTTTGAAGTAACTTTATCATTATATTATCCATCAAATTATTAGTTTCTTGATTAAGAAATTCTGAATACTATTAATGGTTTAATATTGTTAAACTTTTATCTACTAAAGCTTAAAATTAATATACTTATTTTTAGAATATTTTAATTAATAGTTGCTTTACATTATATTAATATTATTATAAAAACTATTTGAATATACTTAACTTTGTTTGGAAGCTCCCTTTTATTGTTTCCTATCTTCAAGATAAAAAAGAAGCTAAAAATATATCAGAAATATATGATAAAATACAGTATATAGCACATAGCAAATGTGAAAAAAAATGTAACTTAAAAGATATTATATTATTTATATAAGAGTAGCAAGTAATATTTTAGAGAGTGAGAAAACTAAAGAGTTTATAATATATATAGTATAATATAAGATATTATATATTGCTTATAGTATATAAATATTATATTAGCCTTTAATTGTTTATTTTTTTATTTTAAATATTTAAAAATAATATATTTATTAATATTAATATTTTTTTTTAATTTATAGTATAATTTAATTGACAATTTGTCTATACAGTGAACTTTTGATATAACAAATTTTATAGTCTGGATCTCAACTTTGTTATAAGCTTATAATGAATTTTTAAAGAATTTAATTAGCTAGTTTACTATAGTAAAGTATATTTAATATATTTGATTTAAAAATTCACTATATCAAAGATTCGCTATATTAAGATTTGATTGTATCTATTTTGCTAAATATATATCAAGATTTTATAGAAGACATTACTTTACCAAAGTAAAGAAATAAAATCCAGAATTCAATTAATACTTAATAAAATCCAGATATAATTATTAATATGAGAAAAATATAAGATGATTAAAGAATAATTTTTAATATTTTTTGAAATAAAATGAAGAAATTTTTTAATGAAATATATATTTTTTTATTCTTTGTGCTTATAATATCAAAAACTAAAAATTTTTGTATACTTAGATTACAATTTTTGTATATGATCATTGATATATTAATATATTATATATGCTTATTATAATTTCTATAAAAGATTTAATGTAAATAATTATTAAATAAATATGAAGTGCCTTTATCTTATAATATTGTGATTTCTTCTTTTAAGTAGATATAACTCAATTTTAGCTAAAAAGTAAGTGATTATCAAATAGATATACTGAGTTAGGGTTTCCGTTTAAAAATAGAATATTTGAATATTTGTTTGTCAAATAAAAAAAATCAAATATTTGAAATTGATTGACTGATTTCAAATATTTGAAATCATTTCAAATATCGAAATGATTTTGACTATCAAAATTGATTTCGGATATCAAAAATCATTTCAACTAGCGAAATTGATTTCGATTATCAAAAATCATTTTATCTATTAAAACTATGCTTTGAGATTATTACGCAGAGATTAGTGTATTAGAACAAGGTGGTAAATTATTTAGATATTGAGATGAAATTGAGGACGAACTTATTAAATAGAGAATAATAGCAATAGTACGAATGAGGTGAGACAGAGGAATTTTTTTTAGCCAATGTAGTGGAAAATTGATTTCGGATTATTACAATTTAAATATTTATCAAAATATTTGGTAAATCCAATTATCAATCAACTATTTATTTTAATTTTAATTTTACTTTTTTTTTAATTTTATTTTATTTTATTTTATAAGTTAGTTTAGGAGGGTTTCTTCAGAGGATGGGTTTTTTCTCTTTACTAATTTTCTTTTTTTAGAAACAGATCTTTTATTCTTTTAGGTAAGATTTCTTTCTTACAGTAGGTTCTTTGGGATTTCTTTGGGGTTTCTTTGAGGGTTTCTTTCTTCTCTTACTGATTTTACTTCTTTTTTTTTTTAGAAATGGATCCTTTGGATAGGTAAGTCTTCTTGGGTTCATGCTTTGGGTTTCTTTGGATTTCTTTTGGGTTTCTTTCTTCCTTTACTGATTATTTTTTTTATTTTTTTTAGAAACAGATCCTTCGTTCTTTTGGGATAGATAAAGCTTCTTGGGTTCTTTCTTTGGGATTTCTTTGGGGGGTTCTTTGGGGTTGCTTACTGATTTTACTTCTTTTTTTTGTAGGAACAGATCCTTCATACTTTTGGGATAGGTAAGTCTTCTTGGATTCTTTTTGAGAGGATTTCTTTGAAGTTTGGTTCTTTACTAAATTTTTTTATTTTTTTTTTTAGAAATGGAAATGATTTTGCATGCTAAATGATAATTTTTTATTTTGTTTTGACATATAAAAAGTATTGTTTTTTTTTTGTGTTTTTTTGAAGCATTTTTTTGAATAAAGTAAGTCTTCTAAATTTTTTTTAAATTTTTTTAAAGTTGGATCTTTTTTTCATAAATATATAT